TGTGTGTGTGTGTGTGTGTGTGTGTGTGTTTCGTGTAAGTGTCGGGTGTGAAATACCTTTATTACGTATGCACTCGTAATCCTTACGTATGACAAAACAATTAAACCCTGGGTTTAACCGACTCCCCCCTCCGCCTCCCCTCCCTCCTCCCACCTCTTCCGGAAATTCCGCGCGCTTGACGTTATTATTCTAACTTTCACGAAAATTTCGCCGCTCCACTCTGCCGATAACTCTCGATCCCTCTACTTAAACTTAACGCTAATTCATTGTACCACTTAAAGGTATCCTTTCCCCCCTCTCCCCGCCTTTGCCTCTGCTTAGCAGAACAGCCGAAAACAATATATATATTTTGTATATATATTAAGTAAAAGATTCATTATATAACTTGGCATACGCGACCGTTATCTATTTACACGAGCATGTGTGCTGTCCACGTGCGTGTGTGTGTGTGTACGTATATGTACTCTCTCCCATAAAACTCTCTCCTTCCTTCTCCCTATTCCTGTGTACGTGTGTGTACGTGTGCGCGCGCGTGTGTGTGTGTATGTTCCTATCATCACATACGTAAACGACACATAACATCTTTGAATATCCTTTTCCCGCGGCTTCTCACCCTTCCCTCCCCTCCCCCCCCCACTCCCACTCGGGAATTAACTTCCCTATGACTATGTAATCTCCGTCGTCCAGCATCATCAATCCCATTCCCCGGCTAACTTCCCTCTGCGCTCCCCCACGGGACAATCGATGTCACCTACGCTCGAATAATTTTCGCTCTCCTCCACTCACTCGTTTCCTCTTTCGCGCTCGTCAGCGCATCGGCAGTTGATCTCTCGCCAATCTTTTTGATCTCGGCGATCAACATCTCCTCTGTTCTTCGTCACCTCCTCTCGCTTCATCACCGGGACGAAAAACGGTGCAACCAGTCGGCGCGACCGCCCAGGCAACGCCGGTCCGAAGCGTACAACGTCGGACGATTTCGCGTCCGACAATCCCGACAAACGGACCGCGATGCTTAATTGCGGTCCCTTTCCTCCTCCTTCCCGCGAATCGCTTACACGCGCGCATTCACGGCTGCGCTTCATGCACACGTGTGCGTACGCACTCGCTCGCTCTCGCGCTCATTCACTTACGGCTTCGCAGTTGTACATACATGTTGCTATTTTAATAACGCGCCCTCGCGACACAAAAAGAGAACGGAAAAAAAAACGGGACCTATTTTACGTACAGATAGACATCACGTGTGCGCGGATCGAAGATCCCGGAGCTTCTCGGACGAGTGGACTTCGCGGCACGGGGAGGGGAAGGGGGGGGGGGACAATGATTGTGACGGAGAAACAAGATATCGAACGTACGTGGTGCTTGACTAGCGTAGATCGAATTCATTCTGACTTGGGCTGCGAGCGAAGCATGTATAGCAATTTGAAATTAATCTACGGTCTGTGAGCTCCGAGATCCACGATCTTACGCGTTATCCTCCCTGCGAGGAGGGTAGCAAATGGCAGGAGAACTGCTCCGACATTTACCGGACAAGTAGTAGTAGTAGTAGTAGTAGTATTTAGTAGTAGCGGCTGTACGGAATGTACAGGTTTTATCATACTGTATAATATATCGCTATTGTGTTCCCTGTGTGTGTAATGCATTGCAAAACGATGAGGTAGAACTGTCATACTTTTGGCAGAGTTATGCGCGCGCGTGCGCGACGAGTGCTCACGTACTTACGTATTTGGCATGTCGATTGTTATTAGAAAACGGGAGTAAATAGAAAAAGAAGAGGAAGAAAAGAAGAGAAGAAAAATAAAAAAAAATTTAAAAAAAAAACGGAAATGTATTCTCTATCTCCCTCTCTCTTTCTTCGGCATTTCTGTATCTCGTGCACTATCATACCCCCAGCTCGCGCACGACGCGCTTTAAATACTAAATAATTCTCTATATCGTCTCTATTGTCTTTGATAACTTACGGTAGGCGGATATCGTTGTGAGAATAACCGTTTTAAAAAAAAACTTCTGCGGAAGAACAAAAGAAAAATAATAAACGAAAGGGGAGAACAAGTAAAACGGAACAAAAATAAGACAGATTAATCTGTATAAAGTGTAAATACTGTAACAAGTAATATCGTGGGTGCCATCCTGACTAGGAGTATATCTCTATATATCTATACATATAGGTAATGTGTAATATAAATCTATTGCATTGATCACATCTCATACAACCGGGATAGCAACTATTTCGCGCGTAAACCGCGCGCACTGTTTAGAATCACACGACGTGTGATCGATGTGGCTATACTCTATATTCACGGTACGCGACTATTGCTCCGGACAAAAGTCCGCATTTTAAACATTGTAAACAGGTAACAAAGTGGTAGTGATCGTTTCGCCGCGAGGCGACGCAGCCGCCTACGGCGAACTTCCGTGGCGAGTGCGTTCGTCTTCTATTTTTTTTTTTACTTTTTCATTATCTTTTTTTTCCAGAAAAATCGATGTCGACGTAGGAGGGTAATGGTATATCAACGTGATTATTGCTCGGTCGACTTGCTTCTTCGAGGTGCGCGCATTCGCCAAGAAGTATTTTCGCGCGGCGACGGCTGTTCGGCACTCCCACGGCTAATCGCACGACAGTCGTCCGCCCTTAGAATCGCAGTAATCTCGTAAACGTTATATAAAATCGTAACTGTATAAAAGGTTGTGTACTTCTCGTCGCGATCTCGGATATGTGGGTCCCACCGCGATTATTATTATTATAGTGGAGCGTGCGTGTTGTACGCGGGTGTATGAAAACGGCGAAACTGAAAATTGACTGTGTGATTATTCCAGTAGTAGAAAAAGCGTCTTGTCTTTGGCACTGGTGCGCGTGTAACGTAACGTTTTTTTTTTATTTTTTTATGTTTGGATAGGCATCGCGCCCGTCGGAGCGATCCTGTAGGCTCGACTTCTCAACAGCGGTATAGTAGTACCAGAAACAGGTAAACCGGTTAACAGCGTTAACGATTAAAATGCGACGGCGAGTAATCCGATCTATGGTAATGTTGAACTATCGAAAGGTAAGCGCTGTTTTCTTGTTATCTTGGCGCTTAGATCATACCACGATTTTCAAGTTTACCTGAGTTTGCATTGGTTCTCTCGTCGCCTGCGCTATAATGGGCCCTGCGTGTACGTATTTATGCGCCATTCGCCGCTCAGCTCGTTACCTTCATCCGCATATCTCTCTTTCTCTTTCTCCTTCTCTCTCTCTCTCTCTCTCTCTCTTTCTCTCTCGCTTCGTTTAAAAAGCTCCTAGTTAATAATCCTTACTTGACCGTTGCACTTTCATTGACTAGCTTTGTGATTCGCAGCGTTTTTCGCGAGCGTGCCCGAGGCGCCGTGCGCATCGTTGTTCCGTGCTTCCTCTCTCTTTCTCTTCCCTGTACGAATCTTCATGGTCGTACCCTCTCGTTTTACTCGATTTCTCAACGATTCCACGCGCGCACGCGGAGAGCTCGCTCTCACTCGCGACGAGGAATCGGGACGGCGTTCGCTGACGACGACGAAGGAAAAACGAAGGTATCTAAACTGCAGCCTCTCCTCTCGTCCCGCACCGCTTTAACCGCGGTTCAATCTCGCGGTCGGCGCCGGCGAAGTTGCCGCCGGGATTGTTGCTTCCGAGTTCCGGCAGCATCGCGCGCGAACCGCGACGGCGACCACGGTGGCGACGGCGAGAATGACAGCGACGCCGAAGACATTGTTACTGGACGTGATCCGAATGGTTGGACTGCTGGAAAGCGGCCTTCATTCTGAGCTCGTCCTTGTGCTCCCGCGCAATGTGCCGTCTGACGGTGTTGTTCCTGGTGAACGTCCGCGTGCAGTACGGACACGGCACCCTGATACCCTGGTGACGTTGCCGTACGTGTGCGCGCAGATTCGTCTCGTAACCGTATAGTCTCTCGCAGAAGGGGCACTTTAGTTTTCTACCTGAAAAGAGAGAGAAAACCTTTGTTTACAAATCCAGTCCAGTGAAATTATATCGGCATTATACGCAGATTATATCGTTTATTTGATTTGCGCTTAAATTAATATTGTTTACGCACAGGCGACAAATACGAGCGCCATAATTTTCAAAAGAGTGCAAACGTCACTCACACGTACGCGTGGCGGTAGAAAATATTAATAGACATAAAAATATATTTCACGGAACTGTCTCAAAGCGTGATGTAAATCAGCGTTCACACAAAAAACCGAGCATAAAGAAAAGTCTTTTATTATTATTTTTTTCAAGTTAAAATTTTTCTACCGATTGCCCGATTTAATTGACATGTAAGCCTACGTGCTAATCATAGCGTTCTGCGTATAAACGCGCGCGTAATGCTGCGGCGAAACCTTCGTGGAAGGAAGCGTGAATGCAGATTACGCAATCCAGCTTCTCCTTTCCTTCCTCCTTCCCCCTCCTTCTCTCTCTTTCACACACATACACAATTTTTTTTGCCCGTGCGCAGCCGCGCTTCACCATTAGTCCCATCGGCGAGAAGAAAACAAAGTTCGGGCTCGGGCGAGCGATTCATGGTGGAGCATTAGGCCAATGCCTCCGAGATTGTTGGCGCGTGCAAGGCCAACCTCGGGGCTCCGCGAGGCCTCTAATACACTTCCCATCCAGCCCGATTAACTTGCGCCCGAAGTACCATTTACGGCAACCGCCCCGCCGCGCCGCGCCGGCCGGCTCGGCCTTCTTGCTACGCGCGAACGCGCAAAACCGCTCTCGAACCGACAAACGATCTTTGTCATGTGTAAACGCTTCTAATGCAGCCCGCATATTTTCTCTTACGCCAAATCCAAAAGTTTGGCCGCAATTTTTCGGTCGCTCCCGGTTATTGCGCGACACCTTTTTTTGCTACGCGATACGTGACGACGCACTAAAATAATGCAATGTTATACTTTCTGTTAGATTATTGTTAAGACTTTTTTTTTAACGCAGACGTTTTTACATTCCTCAGACAGTTAAATTAGCTGTTGATCAGTGCTTGAAAAGCACACGCTAGATATTCAAGAGAAACGTTCTCCGAGAGAAACGTGGCAGATAATTAAATGCTACTTCGTTTCACGCGTGAAATATAAATTACTTAAAAATGCTATAAAGATGCACGGTCCTATAAGAGTGTGTAATAAATGTATTTTTCAAAAATTCGCGATGTAGAAACTTCCACGCTGTTCAGCGCGAAAAGTACTGTTAGATTTGCACAACGTGGCACTTGTGCGATAAAAAGTAAAACTGTTTTTACCATTAGCTCTGAGCTAATAAGTACACGGAGAGAATTTTTTTTTAAATTTACCCTGCAAATCATGTCACGGTCAGCTCGCGTAACGTTAGTTACACGGAGAAAATTTTTTTTTAAATTTACCCTGTAAATCATGTTAATTGTGGGACAATACAGTATTTAGACAAATTTTACTGTGCACTATAATAAATTTTACAGTAGTAAAATACAGTAAAATTTATTGTAGTAAAATACAGTAAAATTTATTGTAGTGCACAGTAAAATTTACCTAAATACTATATCGTCCCACAATTAACATGATTTGCAGGGTAAATTAAAAAACAAATTCTCTCTGTGTAGCTAATGTTACGCGAGCTGACCGTGACACCATCGAACTTCATACCATGTAGCAAGAAGTAGCTCATTGTGTGAAGATGGACTGTGCTGTGACGTTCGTCTCCGAATGAAGCGCGCATTAGTCTCGTCGCCTTTTAACCCATAGAGATTTCTCTTTGTCTAATTCCAACGAGAAGCGGCGACGTTCTCTCGGCCCATCGTGACACCAAAGGGCTCCCTAAGAACGGCCACGTCATTGCACGCGCGCGCGTTTAAAAGTAATAATAAGTTCTAACGTAATTCTATGCTGAATCACAGTCGATGAATTGGCCGAAATTCGCGTTTGCGTTTCACGAGCATATAGCTGAACGATGGGCCATTCACAAGCGGGCCGCGCGTGACACACCGTGTCATTACCGAAATTATATAGATTAATCGGAAACAGTTCGGTGGAGAGTCGAAGAAGAAGAAAAAAACAGAAGAGCCCGCCCATCATTGAGGCCGTTCTCTCTTAAACGAAAAGATTGCTTCGCTCGATACAGCATTCAGGTGTCATGAGAGAGATGGCGGGAAAAGATGCGAGCGAACGGAAGACATCGCGCGGTTGAACGAGCCAGTTTAAGTTAGATGGTCAAAATTGTTATTGTTGGTTCAACGCGTAAATAATCATGGACATAAATGACGCACGCATATATGATATATTTCGTACAAGGAATCGATTATACAAAGGAATCGATCTTTCGTCGTTCGCCTCTTGTAAGAAATCTTTTCTCAACATCATCTCGGTCATTTTTGTCAACTGTTATTTACGTGTTGTACAATTATTATCTATTGTCACGCTGTCATCACTTATGCAATGTCACGCTGGCCCGAGATTTATTCATTTCGAAACGCAAACTGCGCTCGATGTCAACCTGACCAGCCGGGTGGAACAAACGACCGCATTTATCATTAAACGTGCGCCGAAAATACGGGCGAATGACGATATCAGTCGCGGCGAAGAAGAAAAAAAATAAAACACCCGTAACCGTGCGCGTGTACATACGTGCGCGGAACCGCGCCGGCTCCTCGGCGGCGGACAGCGCCTAAAAATAGTGGGCATCCTAGAAAATGTAAACGGGGCCGCGGGGCAGCGCGCACACGGTCTCGTGCAGCTGACTATGAAATTCACAAAGGACCCGCGCGCGCCGGAACAAAGGCGCGAAGACGTAAGCCGGAAGAGAGAGAGAGAAAGAGAGAAAGAGAAGAGCGCAGAGAGTGGCCGGACGGGCCCCCACCGAAAGAGAAAAAGAGAAGGAGAGGAAGCGAGCTCTCTTCTTCTTGGTTGAGGAGGATTATCGGCAGAATGAGAAAGGGCAGGCGGGACGAAGCTGCGGGGTAGATACGCCCCTGAGACATGCAGAAACGCAAAACGGTGCCGGCCAGGAAGCGGGACGAGCGCGCTTCTGGGAAAGGTATCGCGCCATCTGCGCCGCCCAAGAAATCGCCGATCCGCCGCCCGGGTCTCGTGTTTATCGATGATTACCACACATACAGCTATATACGTTCCCCAAGTGTATCGAGATTCGAGCTCTATGAGCGGCGCCGAAGTTCTTCGAAGCGCGAGTTCCCGTTCCGCGCGAAAAACACCTCGGCGGATTCGAGATGCCGCTTCTGAGTTTGCTCGAGGAAATGTCATCGTCACCCTAGAATCTTACCTAGAACAAATTTCGTCCTTCTCTCCGCACGCATGGCGCGTTTATTAAACCGTTATTATGAAGGGCTCGAACGAACGCTCCTCGGAAAATAATTAAGCGATCCAATTAGTCTCTCCCGGTCTCGGGTACTCGCTCGCGCCTCGAATTATCGTCACGTTCCGGGGTGGATTCTGGGAGGGCCGCTGAATCGACGGTCTGGAAGAATGCGAATAGGGGGATACGGCGATTCGGAGCCGGGCCTCCGATTCTTGGAGGAATCGTGCGTGTTTGACTCGAAAGGGCTCGGGGAAGGAGGAGGAAAAAGACTCGAGAGAGAGAGAGAGAGAGAGAGAGAGAGAGAGAGAGAGAAAGAGTGACCCGCGGGAGGGATGGGCGGACGAGGCGGTTGGGAGGCGGCAAAATGGAAAGGTTAAAAGTTACGAAACGCAACGGCAGCCTCCAAGGTCTCCCCCGTTCCCCACACCTCGACCTGACCCTTTTTTCCCTTTTCGGCTGAATGGATCGAACAAACGTGTAACGCGACCAAGTGACTCCCGATACACGACAGCCCTACCGCAACGCACGGGAACTCTCTGCGGCTTCACTGCGATCGATTGTAGGCCGCACGCTGTCAAGCGTATCGCTGTTATCAGCGTGCGGTCCTGTCCTCCCAACATCTCCCCCCTCCCTCCGTCCTCATTTTCGACCCTCCCGGATGCGTGGCGCGATCTCGTCCGCGTCTCCGCTGATATCTTACGCGCTGACGTGTGCGTGAGTGGGCTGGGAAAATGGAGGCTCAGAGTGCGAGACGGTATCGCGTAACTCGAAACAGGGAACGCGAAATAGAAGATAGTACGATAACGATTATCTACTTTGCGGTGGCAGATTCGACACGTAAAAATGAATCACTAGGGTCCACGGCCTCCGGATATGTGCTGTAGAATTTCATTGTGTAGAAATAGAGATCCTGAGCTAGCCAAGTGATCCCGGCCGAGCGTCTCCACCCTGCGGAAAGTTAAAAACGCTGCGTACGCGGAGGGAATAGGATGATGCGTGCATGCGTGTGCGTATGCGAGAGCTGCGCTGTGTGACGCTGGTGGATCTTTCGCCAGGCCTTGACACATTTCGTTCGGTGGCGCCAAATTGGTCGCCGCTCGGGCGAGCACTCGCTCTTCGAACGGGAGAGGAAGAGGAGGAAGAGGAGAACGCGCGGCCAGAAGGGGGGGAAGGAGGGACAAAGGGACGGACGAATCGGAAGGATAAGAGAGACCGCGGCGTGATAAGAGAGAGGAGGACGGCGAAATCAACGACGACATTGAGGGCAAGTGAGAAAGGAGAGAGAAGAGGCCGAGGGCTAAAATGGTGAGAAGAGGAGGGCGAGGAAAATCAATGTCAGGCAACGTGCGTTGCAACCCGAAATCAAGGGAGCCCAGGCCTCCCGCGTTATTCCCATCCCGGCTTGGCACCCGGCGGTCGATTCTGCAAGGGACGGTGGTATACGGGACGCACACCCTCTCCCTTTTTTTTAACCCCTCGAAGATCGGGAGTGAACCATAACCCGCACAACGGTCCACTTCCCGGGCCTCCCTGAATCGCGGTGTCCTTATGGTTTTGGAGATACAGTGGTATACCTTCGCTTCTCGGTATCAGTATCTATCCGGCAGCAAATTCTCTCTTCGGAATTCCAACAAGAATGAGGATCATACCTTAC